CCATCATCTGGTTTGATTGACAATCTCACATTTAGCTGATAGCTACATTGATGTGGTGCTGTGTGTGACAGACGGGATGTTTTGAACGTGCAGTCACTGACTTTAATCTGATTTACATTCTGATCACACTGTAGTTTAACATTTGTCCTGCAGTGGTCTCTGGGTAAATGAAGTGTTTCACCAACTTAACACTTTAATTTGATGGACAGGTTGAAAACAGACACAGCCTCAGTCTGCACCGCAAATATACAAACGTGTGTTTTTGAATTCATATTGTTGGAGGTGAGGGGCCACACCAAGGTCCTGATGTAAGGTGAACCTGGGGGCAGTGATGGATGATGATGATCAGTAGTCACCTGTCACACTGTTAACTTAGTTATTATAAACCAGTAGAGCTGAGGGAGCAGAGAGTTGGTGTTTGTTTTTACGTCTGTTTGTCACCAGTTCACTCAGACACTTGGACTCGTCTGGTGTGAATGTGTCGCTACATGCAGCATATGTTTACCTCTGATGTGCTAGGAGGGGGTGGAGGTGTGGTTCCATAGTGGAGTGACCATTCTACTCCTCAAACCTTGAAACGGCGATTCATTTTTAAATTTAAACCAATGAGAATTGTCACTCATTGTATCGATTTTATGCGATTCAAGATGCATAGTTAGATGTCTAATTAATGTGTGACCTGTGGATGTGACCTGTGGGGGTCAGTAGGTCATGATCTTTCTTTCTCAGTCCCCTCAGACAGACAGAACATTGTGAGCATTATGGGTAATCCTCCCCCAAACTCCCACACCTCTACATCATCTTGAAGTAACGAGATTTTTTTTGTTTGTTTTTGGGATTAATTGATAGAAATGAAAGAAACCATACGGTCTAGCGCCCTCTGCAGCTTCCACATCATCATCTCCCTTCTGAACTGGTATCCAGGTTACATATACACAGGTGTAGAAAATAAGTGAAGAACAGCAGTGACCCAGATCGCCTTCCTCTGCAGTGAGGGTCCACGGAGGGTCCCTGAGAGCTCACAGTTGGAGCCCAATATTTCTGTAATATAAGGCAGAACGGGCTCCAACTGTGGGCCTGGAAGAAATCTACGGTCCAGCCCACCCATCCACACACACACACACACACATTCACCATCACGGTAGTAATTATATAGTATGGATCCAACATTGGTCTGGGCCTCTGGACCCCTGGTACCTCTTAAATACTAACATACACGCTTGAAAAATGAGATGAGCAGTTCACCTACACACACACACACACACACACTCATACACACAGGGAGGGTAACACCACTTATTTCTACTCCCGTCCTCAGACCCACTGCAGCGTCTGTTCAGACTCTTCACTGATGTCCAAAGTCTGGTTTGGGGCCCGATCCTGACACATTTCATATTTTTATTTCAACATTGCACTTAAATGGTAATTTGCTTTGATTTTAATTTTTATTTGCACTCACCACAATGAAACATAATTTCTGCAGTTGCTCTGCTTCACCAGCAGGTGTGTGTTCTCCAGTTCCCTCCACTGTCCCAAAAACATGCAGAGATTTAGAGATTTGGTTGTTGTTCCCTCTAATCTGACCACAGGTGTGAATGTGAGTGTGATTGGTGGTCTGTGTCAGAGTACGGCCCACTGGTCCGTCAGTCGGCCGTACCCCCCCCCAAGGCCTGCGTCGTTTTCCACCCACAGACAGTTGTGTCTGTGGCTACGCTGCCTGTCTGTGTGTGTGTGTGTGTGAATCCACACAGTGTCTGAGCTCTGCTGTGGACGTCCACCTGTTCTGTCCATCATGTGTGTGTGTGTGTGTGTGTGTGTGTGTGAGACAGCTGTGCAGTCTGTCCGGCGTCGGGCTGCCGGTGAGCAACATCCATCATGGAGGCTGTCCAGCTGGTACATAACTAACACGACTACGGAGTAAAACTGTAGAAGATCAACAACTGTAGGGTACACTCAGTACACTCAGTACACACAGTACACTCAGTACACACAGTACATTCAGTACACTCAGTACATTCAGTACACTCAGTACACTCAGTACACACTCCTGTAGCTTCAGTTTATTCCTGAGTGTGTTTTGAACGTGGATTATTTAATTTGTTTGGTGAAGTTTTATCGACAGACTCTTTAGTTTTTAGTGCTGCAGCCTGACTGAGTGTCTAGACTTTATTGGGGGGGGCGGGGGCGGAGGGGGGTGAGCTCTACTTCCTGCTCACATAAATATATATGGAGATTTTTATTTTCCAGGCAGTTGACGGACAGACAAACAGTCGAAGCTTAGAGAAGCACAGAGCGTTTCATGAGACAAGGTGTCGGGGCGTTTACTGCCCCCTCTGGTACATCTGATTTATTAGCAGCTTGAAATGAAAATATTTGTGTTTTCCTTGAACAGAAAGCCAAGTCTCAGCAGCTCAGGTCTCTCTGTAACAACTCTCTTCTTGTAGGCCTCTGATGGCCACCGCCCCGCGTCCGCTGTCCTTACATTTGCCCAAATGTGTTTTTGTTCCTTTTGTTCTTCCTCAGGATTCCTCCTCCATCCTTGAGGAAGCACCTTGGGGTCAAAGGGCATGGTGCATTTACTTCAGCCCTACAGCCAGACCTCATTGTTGTTGTTGTTTGTACTTTGGATTCTCAACTTTTTCATAATAATAAGTTACTTTTTCCTTCACGTCCGTCCTAGGTTTCTGTCCCTCCTGGATCAAAGTGCAGATCAGATTGGAAGTCCAGCGCTTCATCAGTGTGTGGAGAACAAGGTGAAGACCTGGGGTGTGGAGGAACTGGCCAGGAAAGTGGACACGACGGTGGAGACCCTCACACTCATCATAGACGGCCTCACTCAGCCTCCTGGGTTTGACATGAGACAAAGTAAGATTCACCAACACACACACACAGACACATCTCGGCGGTGTAACCTGATAGGGTCTGACAGAAGTGCGACCAAACAACATGAGCAGTGTGTTTTCTGACAGTCTGATGGTTTCAGCAGACTGTAGTGTTGGCTGTAGTAGTTCTTCACAGAACACAATAGAACTCTGTTTCTCCTCCATCTGAGCTCAGCTCCACAGAAGAGAACTGTTAAACGCTGCTGTCTGGGCCACGGCTCTCCTGCTAAACAGTTTCTGATCCAAAGTCTCAGTGGGATTATACCTGGTCAAAAAGAGGTTAAATATAATAAAATAAAAAATAGACTTTGGATATTCATGTCCTCCTGGTCTGAGAAATACATACTGGGACTGTTTTGTTCTCTTCACAAAGCACTCCTAACTCTAACATGGTAGCCACCACGTGCTAACATGCTTGATGCTATCCACTACGTGCTAACATGCTTGATGGTAGCCTCTATGTGCTAACATGCTTGATGGTAGCCACTTCGTGCTAACATGCTTGATGCTATCCACTATGTGCTAACATGCTTGATGATATCCATTACGTGCTAACATGCTTGATGGTAGCCACTTCGTGCTAACATGCTTGATGGTAGCCTCTATGTGCTAACATGCTTGATGGTAGCCGCTTCGTGCTAACATGCTTGATGGTAGCCACTTTGTGCTAACATGCTTGATGCTATCCATTATGTGCTAACATGCTTGATGTTAGAGTTAGTTAGTTTAGATTTATTTAACAATGCCCCAGTTTATTCAAAAAGTGTAGTTAGTGCCACCTACAGGCGACAGAAAGGAGTGTTTCATAACTGTTGAGAAGTGCAGATTGTGCCTTTAAATGAGCAGCAGGTTGACTGTTGACGGTGAATCTGAATCTTTTTTTTACTCATTGATTTTTAAACGGTCTGATTGTGAACTACAGTCGGAGTCAGAGAGTCCTGGAAGACACAATTCAGATGTTGAAGGTTCATCCTCAGGTTGGACCTATTTGGTGTCAGCTCACTGGGCTGGGCCTCAGTGGTGCTGCTCAGCTGAGTAAACATGGGCCCAGACTAGCGCCTGAAATCAGTGCCGTAGGAGGATAATTGGACCGGACTATTTCCTGGGCTTGGATCTGTTCTTGTTTGTGTTAATGCTGCAGAAGGAAAAGTCCTGTCATAGGTCTGTGGACCGGACTGGAGGACTGTGGAGGAATGTTGACGCAGAGGCGTTGGGTTTCTGCCTGAAACGTTAGACTCGTTTGTCGTCTCTGAAGCGACCCGTGGACTTCCCTGCGTCCCGGTCTTCAGTTCCCCCGGTGCCACACAGACAGATTTCCTGCCTGACTGCCGTCCAACCTCATCGTCTCTCTGTAATTATCTTTTCATCTCTCTCTTTACTATCCCCAGATTTTGGACAGGCCGACTTTAAGCGCGGCATTGTGTCAATGAGTGATTTGCAAGTCGGTGCCGTTTTGACGGGCCGCGTGGAGAACACCGCTTTGTTTGGGACTTTCGTAGATATCGGTGTGGGTCGTTGTGGTCTCATCCACAAAAGCTACATCACGGCGGATAAACTTCCAGTGAGTCAGAGACGCCGCAGCCTGGCTCTGGGGCCTGGCCAACGGGTGGAGGTGCGAGTCCTGAATGTGGACCCTCAAAGAGGACGGATTGGCCTGGACCTGATCAGGATTCTGGAGTAGAGTCAGTAATTCCTTAAATCTGACTCCAAGAAGGGATTGGATTTATAACAGGAAGGGACAAAACATCAACACAAACGTTCCCCTGATGTTTGGACTGACTGTCGACGTTGGGGCGTTGAACCAGCAGCTCCTACAGTCAGTGCTCAATTCAGTTCTGGTTCTATCACAGAGACTGTCTTTATTTTCCCCCCTCTGTGACATTTGTTTCTTTCTTTACGTTTTCACCAGCAGTTCACACTAACTGTCAGTGACTGACGGTTAGTGTGAACTGCTGTGGCAGCAGTGAATAGACGTTTACAATAAAATAGAGGTGTTCACGCTTCTTACGAGTAAAAAAAACAATCTGTGTGTGTGTGTGTGCGTGTGTGTGTGAGAGAGAGCTTTGGTTATTGTAGAAAGATTACTCAGATCGTCCAGAACGAGATCAATTATACTGTAATATTTAAATACACGTGGATGATGGAAAGTACACACAGTACTGACTGTAATTGGGAGGATGATGCAGTGAAATAACATAATGGCAGAAATAAAAGGAATGAAAGACGGGAGAAGAAAAGAGGACGATGTGGAAACCAGGGTGAGGAGCGAGAGTCGGGGGAGGAGAGTGGCTTTGTTCATGAACAGCCTGAAGGCTTTTCAGGGATGAGCCCAGACTCAATTAGTCCAGGACTCACACACACACACACACACACACACTGTAATACGCTGCTTCAAAATTAATCCCAGACTCCCCGTCCACATTATCCAATCTGTTTGTGCTCATGAAAGTAGAATAAATAAGAAAAGTCCAAACTGTGTTTGTGAGAAGGCTGTGGTCCCATGAGCTGAAGCTGAGAGTGGATCAGGAGATGCTCATCACTGTTAGTCACATCTGCCCTGAGGGAAACAAATGGAAGAGATTCTGGAAGACAAACAGATTTCTGCTGCAGATGGATGAGAAGTGGCAGTTTGATAAAAAAGAAAAAAAAAACACTAAACAAACTCAGGTTCAGACTCAGACTCAGACAGGAAGTCCTTCTCTTTCATTACGTAGTTCATTTTTTAAAATGTAATTTCATCCTGTAATGGAGGCGCTCGCCGCCATTTGACGTTAACTCCTCCTGTCGTTTTGTTGTCTCTTACTTCTTTTCATCCCTCACTTTGGACTTTGGCACGTTCACTTGTTTCCAGTGGGTTTTTTCCCCCCTTTGGTAACACACACACACACATATTTGTGGCAGTAATCGCAGCGTCCTTCAGCATTGTTCCGTCTTTTCCCCCGCCCCGAACGTGAGCCCACAGACGGGCCAGACAATCTGCGGCCCGGCTACTGGGTTGTTGTCAAACACTGAGCAGTAATGAGGCGCTGATGAGCAGCAGAGCCGCGGCAGGAGCCGCTCGCAGCTTTTGGCGCTCTGCCCCTCAGGTGAGCTGCTGTGGATTGAGATCAGGTGCAACTTCTGCTTCTGCTAAAACCTGAATGAAATTGAAGGTAAGAGTCAGAGTTTTCAGTGCTCTGCTCATTTGTTGATGTGACGTGACTGTTCACACACACACACGTCTACACACACGAGTGTAGAAGTGTCACTGTTAACACGGAGGAGGAGCAGGGAGCAGAGGAGAGATGGATGGAAGGAGACAGGAAATGCACTTTCACTCCCTGTGACCTCATCAGTCTGATCAGGGCTTTATGAGCTTGCCCTCCCAATCCTCCCCCCCCCACAGGCCTGCAGATTAACGTGTTTTTGTAGCTATGATTTTTTTTCACACTCTCCATCAGTCGTTGACAGTGTGTCTTTTTTTTTAAGTTAATGACAAATAAAACCTTCATGAAAACAAAAACATTTGTCCCTAAAATCCAGAGGATTAGACAAACAAAAACCCTGTTCTGTTTCGGAGAACCTGGTTCTGTCTTTGTTGGTGTGTATGTGCTGTTGGCTTTTAAACCAACAATCCTCTGATCACCTGAACAATTAATTACCAACAAAAAGTCGTATGTTTTTATGCTTTTATCCAAAGCGACTTAGAGAAGAGGATTAACATTATCAAACGTGTGGTTCCTCTGGGAATCGAACCCATCTCTGAGACAGCCGTGCTAACTGCTACACACATGGAACCAACTAGAGTTCTAGGGTTGTAGTTTTCCAGCAGTAGTAGGGTTGAGGGGTTGTAGGTTGAATCCCTTCTTCAGGCCTAACACAGGCCTACCCACATAAACAAGTGCAGTTTAGCGCCCGTCCTTGGACCAGGTGACACCGATCCCGACACTTGGACTCATTGTTGGGTCCATTAAATGTACAAACATCGGTTTGTCTCGTGCTGTTGTGTGTTTGGTAACATTAAACTAGAACCGATCCGCTCCACAGAAAGTTGAGTGCTTGTCCTATTTTCATGAATGAAGACGACGTTTGTGTCGGAGTGACTGTGACAAAGATGTGCTTTTGTCGCAGCTGACACTCAATCTGCCGAAGAAGGTCAGTGTCGGGGCCCACGCCCCGCCTGCAGATCGGTTTCATCCCAATCACAGGATCATAACCTGAGCTGAAGATTAGACTGTCGTCTAATCCGCTGGACCGTCTTCCTGTGACTGAGTCACGTGTCCCTCACGTCAGGGTTCTGTTTCAGGAACCGACTGTGTGAACCAGGCGTTTTAGAGGAACATGGTTCCATATGGACTCACCCCTACGGCCTCCCCCTTCCTGACTCACCCCTACATCAGTCTTTGGGAGACAGATTCTTGTGGATTGAGAGAATTCAACAGATTTGCGTTCAAACACTCCGCGCAGCCACAGAGTGAGACGTGGAGAAAGACAACGGTTCTGGAATGTTCTAGTTCCTCTGCTTCACCTGCCTGGAGAAAAAAAAAACCCAGTGGAACGATGGTGGTGGTTTCCAGGGAAATTCACTTCCTCCCTCTTCCATCTGTTCAACCACACATCACCCAATCAACCGCTAACCTGATACTGCTGCTGTTTCCACTGCCAGCCAATCACGGGAGGACGCTGTGGTCATGTGATCCTCCCCAGACATTTGGCAGCCGATTTATAACCTACAGTTGACTGTTTAATGTTGTTTCTAACTCATGGACAAAGCTAGGGTTTCTTTGTGTGTGTGTGTGTGTGTGTGTGTGTGTGTGTGTCTTCAGTTCCATCTGTGACCCTAGTTTACGTGGCGTAGCATTTACAAAATTTTAGATGGGTGTCCCCCTCACTCCCCCTCTCTTCCTTTTTAAGTATTTAAAGCAAATGTAGAGAACC